TGATTTGTTTTGACGTGAATGGAGCATGTGTCTCTGATTGGTTTAAATGCCTGTCAATCACAACTCAGGGAGACAGGAGACGGCCCCAGATCCACTCGTCTTTGTGAAGTTTTATCAAGAGTGTGGTTCTGGTTGGACAGGTGAAAGAAATCTGAGATTTTCAGTATTTCCCCATGACATGATTTTAACACCATCTGACCAGAAAGAGTTGATTTAGTTAGAACTACAACATATGTCCGTTCTTGTGCTGTTAAACCCGTCTCAAATAACATTACAGTCACAAGCTTTCAGTCACTCTCACCTTTTAGTTGAAAATCAAACTCTGAACAGGACCACGAACGCTCAGACTGATCACAGGCTCCTGAAAATGTGCTCTTTAAATCCATTTTGTATTTTTTCTTGAAGTTTTTACACTTTTTTTTTTTTTTTTTTTACCTAGTGCGTGAATTGTGTCACCATGGTAACTGCTGAAAATTTCCCCATAGACCCCCGTAGAGTCCCTGGGGAGCCAGAACACCTTAAGAAAACCTTCTTCCGGGACAGGCAATCATTTTGTTCAGAGGAGGGGAGCGCAGATATTGAAACTTTTCTATTTAGTATTTTTAAATGAATAATAAAACACTGGTAATTTAATAAAGAGAGAGATTTTTGTACTTGATGTAATTGAGTATTTGTAGCACTGTTTTTTATATATTTAACTTTTAAAATATTGATTTGAAATTGTCTGAATTTACCTGTTAAGATGAGATCACCCAGTTAGAGGAGGTGGCCTATAAAAGGAGCCAGGTTTTGCCATGCCTGTTTTTAACTTTTGTACTTGTGTGATTTTTTTTTATTTTTTATTTTGGGGGGGGGTTTGCTTGGTTCTGGAATAAATGCCCTTGGGATCTGCACTACAAATCGGCTCAAGTCTACTCTGTTCCTTATACTGCTAAGGCTTTTTTTAATTGATTTTTCTAAGTGACATCAAGGCTTGGCTGGCACATTTTTATATATTTTTTTTAAACTGCATGAAGGAAAGACTGAGGTTATATTATTTGGATCTGGTAGCTCCCTCGTTGACTTGTGATCCTTAAAAGATCATGTCCGTCCCGCAGTCACCAGCCTCGGCGTCACCCTGGACACTGACTTCAGATTTGATAAGCAGATAAACAGTGTCTTAAAAACGAGTTTGTGTCATTTGCGACTTTTATCCAAAATCAAACCTTATTTATCTTTGAATCTTTTTGAACAGGTCATGCACACTGTAAATAACCTATAGTATAATTTGTCTTGGTTAAAACCTCTTGTGACATTTTTTTATTATTATTTTTATATTGCACTATTTTCTGTTGTTGACGATTAACTTGCGCGTTTATGTTTAGCACTTTTATTTTGAAGGGTTTATTTTCGTTTAATTACCTTGAGAAGGAGAACGGAAAAACATTATATGGAGCAAATGTATACATATATATTTTTTGTCTTTGTTTAGCTTCCCCTCTGAACAGTCACCAAGGTGTGTTATTGATTTAAATATTTCTTTTGAATAACTTTGTGCCTCTAGCTGTTATTGTTGTTGATTGATGTTGTCAAGATGAATGTAAATAATAATCAAACTTGTGTTGTTTGTGTACGCGTATTTATACTCTGTATTTTGTATTCTTTTTAGCTCGTATGGCAGATTGGAGGATTTATTAAATCTAAAAATCGCCAGTTCAAGTGTCAGTCCTCATTCAGAGGGATACGCTGCACACACTTTTATTTCATCACGTCTAGGGCTGGGTAGCATTAAGAAGTTGCCGATACGATACATACCTCGATACACAGGTCACGATTCGATGCATACCTCGATACACAGGCCACGATACGATACATACCTCGATACACAGGTCACGATACGATACATGCCTCGATACACAGGTCACGATACGATACATGCCTCGATACACAGGTCACGATACGATGCATACCTCGATACACAGGCCACGATACGATACATACCTCGATACACAGGTCACGATACGATACATACCTCGATACACAGGCCACGATACGATACATACCTCGATACACAGGTCACGATACGATACATGCCTCGATACACAGGCCACGATACGATACATGCCTCGATACACAGGTCACGATTCGATACATACCTCGATACACAGGCCACGATACGATACATGCCTCGATACACAGGTCACGATACGATACATACCTCGATACACAGGTCACGATACGATACATACCTCGATACACAGGTCACGATACAATACTAGGGTGACCAAATGTCCGTTTTTCCCTGGACAGATCCATTTTTTGCGTCCTGTCCAGGACGTCCAGGTTTCTTTTTTTAAGTGATGGAATTGTCCAGGTTTTCAGTACCGTTCATTGGGCTCATTAAACTGAGCGTCTCTCGTAGCTCTCTGCATCAGAAGGAGCGAGCAAACACAAACAGTCAGTCAGCCTGTAACACACCGAAGCACAAATGCACATTTAACAATGACTTGTACAAGAAATTCTCCGTTTTCTGGCGCGGTCAGGACGAGTGGGAGGTCATGTGCACAGGTTGCGAGGTGAGAGTATCTCAATGTCCCACCCCCCAGGAAGGTGTCCGGGTTTTCACAAACGGAAATATGGTCACCCTATATGATACAGACCTTGATACATAAGCCACAATATGATACATCTCTATACAGTGCACATTCAATTTGATGTGATATATTTCAAATCGATTTGATACAGTTCAATAAAAATAAAGTCTAAATCATGTCTGTGACACTAAAGTCTTTGTTAAACCACTTCTTGTGCAAACTTAAAAAGAAACATTTTAATCATCAAAACGGTGAAAATGTCAAATGTGTCACATAAACAAGTTTCCTTCCTCTGAACAAGCAACAAAACTGTAGTACTGTAATAAAATAATTTTGTAAAATAAACCGAAAAATACTCTTGGCGATACATCGATACTGCAGCCCATGATATTGATACTGTATGTATATTAAATGATACAGTATATCGATATTTCAATAGTTTTAGACACCCTTAGTCACGTCTGAACTACTTTACATGGGCATCTCTCAAAACGTACTTTCCTGTTTGCAGTTAGTCCAAAACTCCAGAGCATGACAGGAACCAAAAAACGAGAACACATCACACCAATCCTTGCGTCTTTGCTCTGGCTTCCTGTTCGATTTAGAATTGGTTTTAAGATTTTATGGTTTGTTTTTAAAGCTTTGAATGTTCTGGCCCCGTCTGTCTCGGACCTCATCCAAATTTACACCCCCACATGCTCTGAGATCCGAGGTCCAGCTCCAACTCATTTGGCCTAAGACAAAACTTCAAATCAGCGGGAACAGGACCTTCTCTGTGACCAGCCCCAAATTGTGGAACACTCTGCCCCCCACGTCCCAACAGCCCCACAGAGGAGAGTTTAAAGTTTCATCTTAAGACACACTTTTACTCTCTAACACTGCCTGAATTGTGTGTTCCTCTGTGTCTTTTATTTATTTTATTTTACTCATAGTTTTATTATTTTTATCTTTATGCATTTTAACACTTTTTATTTATTGTTTTTAATCATGATTTACTGTCTTTTATTGTATGAATTTGTCTGTGCTGCACTTTGGAAACTGTCATGTTTGTGAAATGTGCTATAGAAATAAAGTTCATCGGATTTTGACATAAACATTGACATTTAGATTCTAGATGCAGTCGTATGTCCCGCCCCCTGCTCTTATTGGCCAGCCTCTGAGTGATTGACAGGCGTGAGTAAAGTCCACTGAAACATGCCCGGGTTATTTTGGTCCAAATCCACTTTTTAAAACAAAGGAGATCCGGTTTTAATCCTGTGTTTGAGTTTATAATCCCACTCTTAATCTGGGACTCTGCTCCGCACACTCAGATTTCAGATCATTTTTTATCATCGTAATATCGTTTGGATTTGGAGGATTCAGATTCTGGATTTGGACCTTTTCCTGCCAATATTTTCCATTTGATCCACTTATTTATTGGGACGCTTTTTCTTTTGTTTAGACCTGGTTTAGTCCTGATTTAGCCTTGTATAGTCCAGGGTTTTTTCAGGTGGGTTTATTCCTGGTTCTGGACCTGCTTAAAACCTGGTTTAGTCCTGGTTTGGGACCTGGTTTAGTTCAGATTTAGTTTGGGTTTAGTCCTGGTTCAGATCTGGTTTTGTCCTGGATTTGGAGCCTGTCTAGACATGGCTTTGTTGTAGTGCTGCACCTGTTTTGACCTGTTTTGACCTGTTTAGACCAGTTTTAGACCAGTTTACACCAGTCTAAGACCAGTTTAGACCTGTTTAAACCTGTTTAAACCAGTTTTAGACCTGTTTAGACCAGTTTAGACCTGTTTTAGACCTGATTTAGACCTGTTTTAGACCTTTTTAAACCAGTTTTAGACCTGTTTAAACCTGTTTAGGCCAGTTTTAGACCTGTTTAGACCAGTTTTAGACCAGTTTTAGACCTGTTTAGACCTGTTTATATCTGTTTTAGACCTGTTTAGACCTGTTTTAGACCTGTTTTGGACCTGGTTTAGTCTTCTTTTAAACCTAGATTTTCTGATTCGATAGATTAGTCCTGGTTAGGATGAATTTGTTATAAATTTGTGACCCTTTATCTGGGTAGTTCTTGTTTAGACTTGGTTTTTGACCCTGTTTGTGTCTTAGGTTAGTCCTGGTTCTGGAACTTTTTAGTCCTAATTTAGACATGGGACTGCACCTGGACTAAACCAATTCAGTCCTGGCTCAGTCTTCGTTTTGTCCCAATGTAGTCCTGGTTTAGTCCTGGAGTAGTCCTGGTTTAGACCTGGTGTAGTCCTGGTTTCTGGTGTAGTCCTGGTGTAGTCCTGGTGTAGTCCTGGTGTAGTCCTGGTTTAGTCCTGGTGTAGTCCTGGTTTAGTCTGGTTTAGTTTACCTGGTTTAGTCCTGGTTTAGTCCTCGTTTAATCCTGGTTTAGTACCAGTTTAGTCCTGGTGTAGTTCTAGTTTAGTCCTGGTTCTGGACCATGGCCCTAGTCCTGGTTCTTCTTCTCTGGTCCTCCGGTGCCTGGGCGGGATCTTCTTCTGCGGTGTCGGTGAGAGTGTGTCAGGGCTCAGAGTCGCCCTCTGGCTTCTTCACCCTGAGGTGCAGCAGCCGCGCCCTCACTCAGGTACTACTCAGATACTAACTCAAATACTACTGCTACTACTACTGCTACTACTACTAAAAAAATCAATTCTTGACATGCTAACTAATAAACTGAATAAACTGGAGACTCTGGGAAATGTTTTAATAACTTGGTTTATAAAGTTTCAGAAAAAGATTAGAAACATTATAGGCAATAAATAGTAAATCAATAAGAATCATATTACATAAAGTGATGCTGCTACTACTACTTCTCCTGTACTATCTGTGTGTGTGTACTACCTGTGCTCAGGTCCCGGCCGCTGTCCCCGTGCACACAGTCCGACTCCTCCTGGACAGAAACCTGCTCCGCTCTGTGCCTCCAAACGCCTTTGCCCACCTGCACCGCCTCGAGACTCTGGACCTGTCCCACAACAAGGTCTGGGTCTGGGTTAGTCCTGGTTTAGTCTGGGTTAGTCCTGGGTTAGTCCTGGGTTAGTCCTGGTTTAGTCCTGGGTTAGTCCTGGTTTAGTCCTGGGTTAGTCCTGGTTTAGTCCTGGTTAGTCCTGGTTAGTCCTGGTTTAGTCCTGGGTTAGTCCTGGTTAGTCCTGGTTTAGTCCTGGGTTAGTCCTGGTTTAGTCCTGGGTTAGTCCTGGGTTAGTCCTGGTTTAGTCCTGGGTTAGTCCTGGTTTAGTCCTGGGGTTAGTCCTGGTTAGTCCTGGTTTAGTCCTGGGTTAGTTCTGGGTTAGTCCTGGTTTAGTCCTGGGTTAGTCCTGGTTTAGTCCTGGGGTTAAGGCTGGTTCAGTCCTGGTTTAGTCCTGGGTTAGTTCTGGGTTAGTCCTGGTTTAGTCCTGGTTTAGTCCTGGGTTAAGGCTGGGTTAGTCCTGGGTTAGTCCTGGGTTAGTCCTGGGTTAGTCCTGGTTTAGTCCTGGGGTTAAGGCTGGTTCAGTCCTGGTTTAGTCTTTGTTAAGTTCTGGTCTGACCTTGTCCTGGTCTGGTCCGGGTCCAGCTCTCGTCCCTGGACCCCGGGTGTTTTCGGGGATTGTCCGGTTCTCTGCGTTTCCTGGATCTTTCGTCCAATCAGCTGTCAGTGCTGGAGCTCGCGTCTCTGGGTGGACTCCAAGCCCGAACCAACCTGACCCACAACCCCTGGCACTGCAACTGCAGTACTCAGGTACTAGACAAGTACTACTTATATCACTACTACTACTGCTACTACTACTACTACTACTACTACTACTACTATTACTACTACTACTACTACTACTACTACTTTTACTACTACTACTACTACTACTTTTACTATTACTACTACTATTACTACTACTACTATTACTACTAGTATTGCTACTACTGCTACTACTACTTCTACTACTAGTACTACTATTACAACTATTACCGCTACTGCTACTAGTACTAATACAACAACAACAACAACTACTACTACTAATACTATTACTAGTACTATTACTACTACTACTATTACTACTACTACTACTATTACTCCTACTTCTACTACTATTACTACTACTACTATTAATACTGTTACTGCTAGTACTACCATTACTACTACTATTACTACTACTACTACTATAACTACTGTTACTATTACTACAACTATTACTATTACTTCTATTACTACTATTAGTATTACTTCTATTACTATTACTACTACTATTACTACTACTACTACTACCACTATTACTATTACTACTATTACTACTGTTACTACTAGTACTACCATTACTACTACTACTACTACCACCATTACTATTACTATTACTTCTACTACTATTACTACTATTACTACTACTACTACTATTACCACTATTAGATATTACTACTACTGCTACTGTTACTACTACTACTACTACTACTACGACTACTCCTACTACTACTACTACTGCAGCAGTGATGGACTATTTCTAGTATCGTGTGTGTAGAAGTGCAGAGTTCAGATAAATGTCTGTGACTCAATGTAAACACACACGTCGACATCACACTCATGTTTTTACTTCAGACTTTCCTCTGAGCATGTGACAGTGACCTGCAGTACCTCTGTACTCCTGCAGGAGGCGCTCCCCGAACTGCAGCTCGACCCACTGTCTCTGAACGACGTCATCTGTCAGAGCTCCAACATCCCCAACCTGGGTATGATACTACAACTGTGTACTATTACTGCTACTGCTACTGTTAGTACTACTGTTAGCACTGCTGTTAGTACTTCTGTTAGTACTGCTGTTAGTACTGCTGTTAGTACTGCTGTTAGTACTGCTGTTAGTACCACAGCTGCCTCTCTGTGCTTCTCTTTGACACTCCTCTGTTCTGACAGGTGCAGTTGGGGCTCCGGTCCTGGTCCTGGTCCAGGACTGGGATCTGTGTGAGTCTGTGAGGAAACAGGTAAATCCAGTTTCAGAGTAAAGGCAGAGGCCGATGTAACTCATTAGTCGATTCTCTGTCCAAACTCCAAAGTTTTGATCCACAAATGTTTTTCCTTCTCATTATTTGTTTGGGATCAGCTCCACAACTTGAGTCAAACTTTTTTTCAGCTGAAACACTCTCGTCTTTGGGGTTGAAAAATGGCTTCATTTTTGGAAACTGTACAAAACTTTGAACTTTGTGCCAGTTTTTGTTTCATGTGGATAGGCCCAGTAATTACAGAGATTTTAAATCCATTTGTTTTTTTTCCTTGAGTTTTCATCTTAGAACTTTTTTGTCAGTGTTTGCTAATGGGTCATTCCACCTCAGTTCACCCGAAAAAACATGTGATTTGAACCCTCACGTTGTCCAATTGCAAAGAAAATTGGTGTATGGGTAAGTCATGGCCAACAAAGCCAAAACTTCAAATTTTAATATGATTGGAGTAACGGTTGTTGAGATATTGCAATTTCATTTTTTCACTTTTTTGCATAGTCCCCAAATTTCTAATTGCATTTACTCAGCAACTACTGGTCCGATATTAAAAATGAAAGTATTCCCGGAAAGGGGAAATCATAATGTCAGATTTGGATTCCTTATGATGCCTCCTTTCCAGAGACATCTTGGTTTATGATATCGGACCAATAGTTCCTGAGTAAATGCAAGTTAAATTTCTGTGACCATGCCAAAAAGTAAGAAAAAATTAAATTGTGATATCTTGGAAACTGTTGATACGATCAAACTAAAATTTGAAATTTTGGCTTTTCTGGCTATGATTTACCAATATACCAAGTTTCATCAAAATTAGACAAAGTAGTGTTTAATTCAATGGGTGAACTGAGGTGGACTGGCCCTAACGTTGTCCAATTGCAAAAGAAAATGTTGAAAATGTCTCCATGGGATTTGTTAAAAATATCACCATAGTGATACATGTAGAACCCCCCCAGTGTGATGTCACTGCAGTAGTATCCACAGAGATTCTCCATGTTCATGATGTTCCATGTTGTGTGCAGGTGGACTTGGTGATGCTTCTGACGATGGGCGTGTGGTTTCTCGCTCTGGTCCTCTTCTTCTTTTTCTACGTCCATCAGAACCAGGTCCACGCCCAGCGCCACCTGCAGTACATCAAGACCATGCACATGAACCCGGACATGGAACCAGAGCCAGAGCCCACCCAGGACTGAACCCAGATAACCCCCCAGAGACCCAGGACTGAACCTAGACCCCCCAAAGACCCAGAACTTGACCCAGTCCAGGAGTGAACCCAGAACCCTGCAAAGATCCAGAACCCGACCCAATCCAGGACTGAAGTGTTCCAGGTGACCCCAAAACCCCAAAACTCCTAAAAGCTGCTCCACTGAGTCTTTAAGGTCTTGCACTGTGTAACATTTTGGTCGACCGTCACCTCCGTCTCTATGGATACACTATTTCTCTGTCTGGAATGTTCCACAGTGTGACATTAAACAGCTCTACTTTACAATTATTCAATTACAGGTGGTTTTAAAGATCAAAAATACCTAGAAAAACAGACATTGTGACTGTGAGAGGGGTCGCCTCTCCACAGATCTGACCTGTCACTTGGTCTGGTTTGGTCTCCATGAACACAGAAAGGATTTAATACCATACTGTGGAACATACCAGACAAAGCAATAACATCTCCATGGAGAAAAGTATTTGATGGACCCTCCAGCAGAAAAGTTACACAGTGCACTTTAACACTGAGCTGGTGTGTGTTTGAAACACACACAAACACACTGATGTTGACAAAGGACAATGTGCTTGATAAGACTTGACTCCATATCCACGTGAACAGAGACATGATAGAAGTGTAATAATATCAGGATGCTCCATGTGACATGTTGGTGAGCGCCCCCCAGAGGCTCACACAAAACACACCATCAACATTTATACACTGGAAGAAAAACAATATCTAGCTCAATTAAAATGACTTCAATTAAGAACATTTAACTTTATGTGAGTCAATTCACCTTGACAAGTCAAATGATCGACCATTGGAATAAGTGTCAGCTCAAGCAACATTCCATTTAGTTTCTTATTTTAAGAGCAAAAAGTTGTAGTTTTTCTTATTTTAAGTGTAGGAAGATGTATTTTCATATATAAAAAGTCTTGTTCCACTGTCACATCATTTTACTTGTCAAGTGAAATTTACTCAAATCATGATAAAACTTCATATAATTCAAGTTATGTTAACTGGACTAGATTGAGTTTTTTGCAGTGTAGTTTATGATAAGGAGTAGAATGGACATGTACACATGAACTCTTGGTACACAGAATACACATACAGTATGAGGCTAAAGTACATGTATGTTCATGTATACACATATGGAACATACAGGCTGCTGTACGTGCTCAAATAGAACAGACATAGATGTCAGTTGTATTTTACTTAATGAAAACAGAAACTCTTATAGGCACTGGACACTCTCGTGTGTGGAAACATACTGTTGTAGATCTAACACATCTGGAACATGAGAAGAGGAACTTTTCAGACTTACATATGTCTCCTTTAAAAAAGAGTATAAAGTGTTATGTTTTCAAAGCTATAAATCTCTGGAATGAATGAATTATGTGTTAAATTTAGTTTAATTTATCTTTTGTCTCTTATTAAGTTGTAAGTGAAATTGTAAATATGAACTTGCTGTTCATACGCTGAATTCTGTCATTGTTTTATATGGTTTGGTGTTAGAAGTACTTTTACTTCAGCCTAAACTCCTTCAGTCATGATCCATGGAGGTGGACTTTATATGTCTTGTTTTGATTTTTTAATTTTATTTATTTATTTTTTGTAGTGCTGCAAAAATTACAGAATAAACTACCACCACCACTACTACTACTACTACTACTACTACTACTACTACTACTACTACTACTACTACTATACTACTACTACTACTACTACTACTACTACTACTACTACTACTACTACTACTACTACTACTACTACTACTACTACTACTACTACTACTACTACTACTACTACTACTACTACTACTACTACTACTACTACTATACTACTACTACTACTACTACTACTACTACTACTACTACTACTACTACTACTACTACTACTACTACTACTACTACTATACTACTACTACTACTACTACTACTACTACTACTACTACTACTACTACTACTACTACTACTACTACTACTACTACTACTTACTACTACTACTACTACTACTACTACTACTACTACTACTACTACTATTACTACTACTACTACTACTACTACTACTACTACTACTACTACTACCTACTACTACTACTTACTACCACCACTACTACTACTACTACCACCACCACTACTACTACTACTACTACTACTACTACTACTCTTACTAATACTACTACTACTGCTACTACTACTACTACTTTAAAACTTGCTACTAATACTTTACTACTTAATTATATGTTATATGTTATATTTTGTTTGTATTTATTTATTTATTATTTTTGTTGTTTTGTTTCCTCATTAAACAAATAAACCTGTGAACATTCCAGAAGTTATTTTTGTAATCTTAGTCTTATATTACGCAGTGTGGCTTTAAAGCTGCCACCTGGAATTCTAGTGACTGACTCGCCCTGTTGTATTCTCACACTTCACCACTAGAGGCTGTCTATGTTACTGCTGTCTGAGAGTAAGAAGAACATTTATTAATTTGATTGATTTATTTATTTGACTGGGACAGAGTTAATGGACAAACATGACACAACATGAATGTAAACACACCCGACTGTACGCTAAGGCTCATTTCCATTTGTGGACCCAAAGGGCAGGGGTCACAGGGGCCAAACTATAAAATATTGCACACTCCACTCACTACACAGTTCCCATCATTACACAGTCCAAAATATTGCACAGTCCAGTCATGGCACAATTCCTGTTATTTTGCCATCAGTTTGGCCACACATTCAGTTTATGCAAATATATGTCCATAGAAGATCATACCAGTTTGTCAAAGCAGGTCTGGGTCTGGTTAGTACTTGGATGGAGACACTGGGAAAATCTGGAGCCACTGGGGGGCGCCAGTCACAAAAAGTATCATTGTGTCCTTAGGCAAGACACTTCACCCACTTTGCCTAGTATGAAAGTGGTGTGTGCATGAGTGAAGGTGGTTGGAGGGATCAGTGGCACAGATTAGCAGCCTTGCTTCTGTCAGTCTGTCCCAGGGCAGCTGTGGCTACAATAGTAGCTTACACCACTCAGTGTTGAGTGAATGAATAATGATCTGTGAAGTCTCTTTGAGTGTCCAAAAAAGTGCTGTATAAAACTGATGCATTATTATTTATTTTCAATCACAGTGCAACTACACATGAGACATGTTTGATTTGACCATAATCACTTTTTCATTTGAACTTTAAAAGAGCTGTACATAGGACACTCTCTCAGTGTTAGAGCTGTACGTAGAACACTCTCTCAGTGTTAGAGCTGTACGTAGGACACTCTCTCGGTGTTAGAGCTTTACGTAGGACACTCTCTCAGTGTTAGAGCTTTACGCTTAGAACACTCTCTCGTGTTTAGAGCTTTACGTAGAACACTCTCTCAGTGTTAGAGCTTTAGAGCTTTACGTAGGACACTCTCTCGGTGTTAGAGCTTTACGTAGGACACTCTCTCGGTGTTAGAGCTGTACGTAGGACACTCTCTCAGTGTTAGAGCTTTACGTAGGACACTCTCTCGGTGTTAGAGCTTTACGTAGGACACTCTCTCAGTGTTAGAGCTGTACGTAGGACACTCTCTCAGTTAGAGTTGTACGTAGGACACTCTCTCGGTGTTAGAGCTGTACGTAGGACACTCTCTCAGTGTTAGAGCTGTACATAGGACACTATCTCAGTGTTAGAGCTAGAGTAGGACACTCTCTCAGTGTTAGAGCTTTACGTAGAACACTCTCTCAGTGTTAGAGCTTTACGTAGAACACTCTCTGTGTTAGAGCTTTACGTAGGACACTCTCTCGGTGTTAGAGCTTTACGTAGAACACTCTCTGTGTTAGAGCTTTACGTAGGACACTCTCTCGGTGTTAGAGCTTTACGTAGGACACTCTCTCGGTGTTAGAGCTTTACGTAGGACACTCTCTCGGTGTTAGAGCTTTACGGGGGGGGGGGGCAGATGAGAGGGGACAGGTGAAAGGGGAGGGCCAGATGGGGGGGGGGGGGGGGGGCAGCTGAGAGGGGACAGGTGAGGTGAACAGGGGAACAGTTTTCACATCTGCCATCTGATAACAAAAAATCAAATAACCTGAGGGATAGTACTTTTAAAGGTGCATTGTGTAACTTTTCTGGTGGGGGTTTGTCACCTGCTTGTTTCTATGGAGATGGTATCATTCTGCCTGGAATGTTCCACAGTATGATATTAAACAGCTCTACTTTACATGTATTTAATTACAGGTGGTTTTATAACTCAAAAATTCCTATAAAAACTAGTTTGGGCTCCATGAAGATAGAAAGGTTTAATGCCACACTGTGAAACATTCTAGACAAAACAAGAACATCTCCATGGAGAAAAGAATTTGATGTACCCTCCACCACTAAAGTTATACAATGCATCTTTAAATTCCACTGATGAGATGAGAATGTTCCTCAGACAAACCCGCAGAATGAGGCCTGTTTCACTCACTCTTCAAATTAAAAGTCAAATATTCCCGTTTCTTTTCTGCGTGTAATTACAGTTTTGAGTTTGATGTTTATAATTGTTCCGCTGACAGGAGCAGGAGCTTTGTCGATGAGCTGTGAGACGTCTGAATATCTGAATACGAAATGTCTGCCTCCATCTGTGCCACAATCACAGAACTTCACTTCTCTGTCTCCTGCTCCAAGAATCCACTAATCACACAGCCAGGTTTGATTAGACAGGAGCAGATGGTACAGACAGAGGAGACAGTGTAGTCCCTCAGGTTAGAAAGAAGGTTAGGTTTATATTATTGTAGCTGCAGGCAAATGTGTGTCTGTATTTGTCCCTTTCACGTGTTTCTGCGGGTCAAGCGTCTCCCAGTCCTGTGCAAGATTCATTAAGACGGTGTCCGAATGTCCACACTACTCCCTACTCGCACGATTCAGGGTCACGCCATAAACCTTTTCCACAACGGCCGGAATGCCCCACTGCAGGTTTGTGGAACTTCCAGTTAATGGTTTTCTGTGTCAAAATGTGTGTGTAAATGTGTGTCATATTCTCCAGCAGCTTCATAAATCTGTCCCATCACCAAATCTTCAACCAACAAACTCCACAAAGGATAAACATTCTAACATGAAGAACTATCAAGAGAAGAAAGACGACATCTTAAAGGGCCCATCTGATGCAAAAATAACTCTTTTCACATTGTATCTTCTGCACATATACAAGCACAGTTTGGGTTTTGGAACATCCATTACATCAGGGGTGCCCACACTTCAGCATGCGAGCTACTTACAAAATGACCAAGTCAAAATGATCTACCTAATACAAAGCCAAGCAAACTGCACTGAAACACTCTGTGCCCCTTTTTTGGATCCTCACCCACAGTTTGAGAACCTCTTCTTTAAGAGAACTTCCTCTGGCACTTTACACAAAACTGTGAAAAAAGTGAAGGAAGATTTTAAAACCTGTTTTTTAAAGTTCCAAACTGGAGTTACATTCTTTTCTGGTTTTGCAGTGATATTTACCAGCCTCTGCACATTTACCAAACCAAACGCACATCGTGACAAACACAGATGCATTTGTCACTTTTGTTAGACAAACTTCAGCCAAATGTGGCAGTAGGTCTGTTCTGTAGATCCGCTCTATGCTGTAGACCTGCTTTGTGCCAACACTGGAACTCAAATTTAGACTGGTTTTTGCTTCACGTTTGGTCTTGCTCTTCTAATCAGCCGCACTGTGGGAGGGGCTTGTGTTCGCTGTACACAGGAAGGAGCGAGAGCGTGAAAAGGAGAGGGGCGGCGTGCTGACGTGAGGCAGATGGACAGTCTGAGTGAACAAGTTACTTATGTTTTATTCATGACCATAACACAGTACTTCTCAGTTATTTTCTATCACTCCGCCCATAGGAAGAAGAAAACATTCTCCACTCCTCAGAACCACTAGCCTGATTCGTCCGACCTCGCAGCATTAGGATTTGTTCGCTTGATGGTAGGCGGGTACATTTTTTGATTTAACCAATCGCTGCTGTTTGGTCATGGTGTATGTAACGCTCCAAATCCCGTAGGAAAAAAGGACAATAATGTCTTTCCGTTTGATAAAATTCACCAAACATTCTCTTTGTTCCGACTTTAAATCCTCTCGGGAATTGTTGGATTGGCTGGTGCCTAGACTCGCACTTCCAGGCTTTTTGTAAACCGTCTAGTGTATTCTGATTCCTGGAGAGAAATTAAAGTGGAGTGGAGGCACTAGGTGGTGCCAGACTGGCTACAGAACCACTACTAAACATGGACAAAACACACCCTCACCTTCAGTCGCCTACTCTGATCCATGAGCCGGTTTCACTTTGTGGAAACCGTCTGACCTCGCAGCATTAGGATTCGTTCACTCAACACTAAGTGGGTACTTTTTTAATTAACCAGTCGCTGCTATTTGGTTGTGACGTATGTAATGCTCCAATAACGTCTTTCCCCTTGAGAAAATTCACCAAACATTATTTTTGTTCCGGCTTTAAATCCTTGATTTCGGTAATCGTTGCCAACACAGAATGTCTGTCTTCGTCTGTGCTTTGTTTACTGTTGTGCTGTTCCACAAAAATGGACCCAGACAGACGCGACGAGTTTGACGTCATGGCTTCACAGCTCACACCTGATTGGCCGGTGCACAGCCTGCGACTTCCGGGGTTCTTGTAAACCATCTAGTGTATTCTGATTCTTGACCTAGTCGCTGGAGAGAAATGAAATTGAGCAGAGTTACTAGGTGGCACCAGCCTTGCTAAATATCCACATTATCAAACTGATTTTTAAGTTTAAAAGTAGAATCAGTCTGAGCGAACAAGTTACTTCTGTTTTATTCATTACCATAACGCAGTGCTTCTTAATTATTTTCTGTTGCGCCCCTCCTAGGAAGAAGAAAACATTTCCCACACACACACTTCACAGAACCACTACCAAACATGAACAAATTGCACCTTTGCCTTCAGTCGCCCACATACAAGAGCAAACGTTTTAGTTATGTCTCCAAAGTGACTCCCAGGACACATTCAGCACGCAGCAATTTCTACATCTCAGACAAAAAGCCAAAAATTCAGTTTGTTTACGTGAAATCCAGCATGAGGAAAAACTTGATAATTATTAGTCCATAAACACTTGTCTTTGTCAGTCTGATGTCATCTTTCTTTATATGAGAAATCAAGTTTTATCAGAGTTTAGCCTTTAGACTTTTTTCACGCAGACACCAGAGTCATGTGACCCGACCGTAGTGAGCCTGGTGTCCGAGTGCACTGTAGGGGGCGCTAAAGAGTGCGGGCCTATGTACTGAATGAGGAGTTACAGACTAGGATGGACATTGAGACACAGCCTGACCCGTCCTTTAAAAGTTCTTATTTTCTATTCTCTGATCTGTTATAATTCAGTTTCTTCGTCACAAACAGACCTGGAGGTGTGTTTTGTTTCATTCCTTCTATTTCACCTTGCATCAACAGAAAGTAAGAAGAAAATTTGTTTTTGGATAATTTCAGGTCTAAATTCCGTGTCTCTTGTGTAAAAGTCTGTTTTTACACCTGCAGCAGGTGAAGAGGAAAACACTCTTTGAAAGTTGATTGCCATGGTGACTATTAGGGCTGTGCAAAAATATTAAAATATCCAAATATTGTAGGATTTATGTTGATGATACAGTATCGATATCGTGAGCTGCTGTATTGATATATCACCAAGAGTATTTTTAGGTTATTTTACTAAATTATTTTGTGTAAGAGCTACAGTTGTGTTAACATTTTCACAGTTTTGAGTAAAATGGTGTTTCTCATATTCACTTTGCACAGACTTAGTGGACTTAATATCAGAGCCATGATTTAGCCTTTGTTTTTCACTGAACTGCATCAAATCGATTTGAAGTATATCATATCGAATACGATACGTTTTATATCGAAAATAAAACTTATCGTATCGTGGCCTATGTATCGAGGTATGTATTGTATCAGCAACTTCTTAATGATCCCAGCCCCAGTTTCAATAGAATGTCAAATCCTAAAAAAAAAAAAAAAATGTAATTTATAAAGTCCTGTCGTTGGACAAAATGCTGAGCTAATGTATTCTGTTGATACTTTGGAGGTGTGACGCTAACTGAAGGCACTGTTCTGTCTGAGCTTTGTTTTATCACAATCTGACCAGAACTACAACGAACGAGCTGATTTGTGCAGTTACACAACAGTCTTACACACAAATTACAGTCACAGACTAACTAGCCTTAGCCCACGGTTTCAGTTAGTTGACTCCGTTCACACACAGGACAAAGATACAGAGACATCCCAGAGACACAGAGACATGTTGGACAAGAACCAGCCCGTGGACCTCAGTGTTCTGGAGGAGGACAAAGGGTTTGAGGAGTTTCCTGAGGAACACTGGAAAAGGACGAGGACGCTCACGTGTGGGAGATCAACTGTGACGACGACAACATGGAGGACGACGTCTCCAACCAACTCAGAGCCGAGCTGGAGAAACACAGATGATGACAAAATGGAGACACTCACCAGGATCTGATTTTCACTGAGACGACTGTTATCACACTTTCATGTTATTAGGTTATTGAAAAAACATAAAACAAAAAATCAGTCACTCTCACCGTTTAGTTGAAAATCAAACTCCTGATCAGGACCATGAACACTCAGACTGATCACAGGCTCCTGATAATGTGCTCTTTAAATCACTTTTGAGTTTTCAGACAATCTTAAAACTTATGTGGCAGTGTTTACTATTCTAGTCTGGGCACTGTGTCTCCATGATAACTGCTGAACATTCCACCACAGAGACACATGTAGAAGACCCCCAGCGTGATGTCACTGCAAAGTGAGCTCGTGCAGGAGCGCTGTCTGCGCTGGATGATTATCTGAAATGAGAGTGGGGCTGCCGTGGGGCCGTGGGGCATCTCTGTATCTGAGGCGGCTGCTGTTGACTTAAACAGATTAAAACAGCTCAGCACTTTGTGTGACTTTAAAACACAAACACTTCTTTAAGTTCTTATCAAACCAAGAACTTTAAAACGGACCACAAACAAAAGAGAAGGAGCCAAGGCCAATGTTCAAATGAGGAGACGGGCTGACCACTCTGCTGCAAGTAACACAGAGAACACTTATATTAAAGGCACATCACCTAACTGCTCTCATTTTCAGCTGGTCTCCATGGTGATATTCTTACTTTCCCCTGGGATACTCCACAGTGTGGAATTAAACAAATACATCTTGTATTTATTCAATTACAGATGTTTTTATTTCTCAAAAGTACCACAAAAATCATGCATTATACATGAGAGGACCCTCTACTCCACAGATCTGACCTGAACTTTGGCCTGGTGATGAGGCCTGCTTGTCTCCATGGAGATAGTTAAATCTCCAGTGTCATACTGCAGAACATTCAGACCATCAAACATCAAACATACAGGAACATACAGGGACATACAGGCACATACAGGAACATACAGGAATACAGGAACATACAGGACATACAGGACATACAGGACATACAGGACATACAGGGACATACAGGGACATACAGGACATACAGGAACATACAGGGACATACAGGGGACATACAGGGACATACAGGACATACAGGGACATACAGGACATACAGGAACATACAGGACATACATCAGGAACATACAGGGACATACAGGGACATACAGGGACATACAGGGACATACAGGGACAACATACAGGGACATACAGGACATACAACATACAGACATACAGGACATACAGGGACATACAGGGACATACAGGGACATAGGGACATACAGGGACATACAGGGACATACAGGACATACAGGACATACAGGACATACAGGACATACAGGGACATACAGGAACATACAGGGACATACAGGGACATACAGGGACATACAGGGACATACAGGGACATACAGGGACATACAGGGACATACAGGGACATACAGGAACATACAGGGACATACAGGGACATACAGGGACATACAGGACATACAGGGACATACAGGGACATACAGGGACATTCAGGGACATACAGGGACATACAGGGACATACAGGAACATACAGGGACATATAGGGACATACAGGGACATACAGGCACATACAGGTCTTGTCAGGACCTGGATGGAGACCACTGAGAATATCAGGTGTCACCGGGGGGCGCCAGTGGCAAAAACTGTTGTTGTGTCCTTAGGCACTTCACCCACATTACCTAATATGAAAGTGGTGTGTGTGTGGATGTGTGTGTGTGTGTGTGTGTGAGTCAGTCTGCCCCAGGGCGGCTGTGGCTACAGTAGTATTTCACCACCACTGAGTGTTGAGTGATTGAATAATGAAGTGTAAAGAGTTGTGTGTGTCTTGAGACGTGCTGTATAAATGCAATGATTAATCAAGAAATGAATTAATGTCATGTCTAATCCAACTTTATTTCTAATGCATTTTAAAAAACAACCCAGTTGACCAAAGTGCAGTGCACAACAATAATTATAAAAAGTCACAAAACAGACACAAAGAACAAAAAGCATAAGACACACAAAAACACAGCCGACACTAAAAGTCAACATTCAACACAGTGAAATGCTGAAGTGAACATGTGAGGTTTAAGAGGTGATTTAAAAAACAAAAGTGACTCAGTGTAAAGTGCAGGACCAGTGCTTTCCACACTGGACCCACAGCAGACAAGGAGACCTCTGATTTCACTTTGTGGAAACTGTGTGACCTCACAGCATTAGGATTAATTCGCTTGATGGTAGGCAGGTACTTTTGGTCATGACGTATGTAATGCTCCGGAATGCTCAGTGGTGTCCAAGTAATTTCCGGCACAACAGCTCACAGTTGATTGGCCGGTGCCTGGTCTACGACTTCTGGGGTTCTTGCAAAGCGTCTGGTGTATTGTATTGTCCTGACCTAGTCACTGGAGAGAAATGAAATTGAGCGGAGGCAAATTGAGCGGAGACACTAGGTGGCACCAGCCCGGCTACAGAAGGAGCGCTCCAATCTAAGTTTTCTTTCTAAGTTTTTGGAACCACAAGCAAAGAATGAAGTGCTGACCTGAGTGAACGAGCGGAAGCGCAGGGCTGAAACACATCTGACAGATAATGTCCAAAAAATTGTGACGAATAAAAGGATTAAAAAAATGAGTGACAGGGAGCCAGTGCAAGGACAGTACAATGAGAGTGATGTGATAATACAAAAGTGCTCCACTGTGTTTTTAAACTCACACACCTTCACTAGAATCTGGAATTTGGATGATTTCAGATCTGGAACTGCCAAACTCTACTGAACTAAAAGTCAAAGGAGCTGTTCATGACATCACAAGGTGGAACAGAGCGTTTAGAGCTTCGGAGATGTTTACAGACTAATAATAAAGATTTACTCAAACATGTGAATGAAACAAAACACAACTGCAGCTCTGTTTCTGAGGAGGGAACAACATTCTAACACGTCTTGAAGCTCACAGTGTGTTTTGCGTACGATAGAACCTTTAATCTAATATTGCCTGAATTTAGTTTGAACTTTTTGACCCTGTTCTGTGAAACTTTGGATGATTTTCTCCTTTTCCTTTGGTGAATCTTAAATCTGGGGATGATGCAAAGATTTCCTGGTTGGTTGAAAATCCGCCTGAGGAGACTCGAGGCGGAAAACCCAACTATAATATGAGCAAAAAGAAACGTCTGTGTTATTGGAAGGGACCTGAGGAGCTCCTGCTTCAACTTACAGCACGAATTCATCATTTACAGAGCGAGGCGTGCGGAACAAATGTGTCGTTTAAATCCGTTTTGTGTTTCGTCTTGAGTTTTGCAGACGATCTTAAAACTTTTTTGTCTGTGTTTGTTAATGTGTGCATGTGTCTCCTCACTTCTGTAACACATAACCCCGTGTCCTGTCAATCATCACATCATTTCTGCACTGTTTCCCTTTTGACCTCTTGTATTTAGCGGAGGTTTTTCATTTATTTATTTATTATTGCTTATTTTTCTATTTTATTTCGTTTTTTTCCATTACATTTATATAATTATGCCTTATTTGACACTGCTGCTATCTTTTTTTGCTACATCTAGAATTTATTATTACCTTTTATATTTTTTCTCTAATTTCCCTTGTGTGCACTGTCAAATGGAACACTCGGGTTCAGCTCGTTTATTTTACTCACAGATATGAGTGTGTGGAGCTTAATGATTTTGGTAAAGTAACAGTCACTTTCAGGGAGAAAAAAAGCACAGTACTTGTCAGTTAGACTCAGGTCGACTTGAATGAGACGAGTCAGTTATTGTTACACATGTTACTGTGTGTTTGAACTGAAAATGAACAAAAGTATGTGCTTGTTTTTTTGTTTTTTTTTTTGCAAAGACTAATAAATATATTGTAAAATCAAACTTTACTCGAACTCAGTGATACTATTTTTTTCACAAGAGCCACACTGGAAGAGCAAAATCAAGAGGAGAGACACTTACACCAACACACACCATACACCATCTTTTTTTGCTACACATCTAGAGTTTATTATTACCTTTTATATTTCTCTTTGTTATTATATTATATTGTGATGTGTGAGCGACTGTCTCCAAATCATTTCTCTTGTGTTCACTGTCAAATCAAACACTAGGGACAAGTCACATTAGGGCCCGGTCAAGCAGAAGTAAACAACAAGGCCAAAAATTCAAGTTAATGCATCTGATATAAAAATGTATTGAACAGATACATATGTACTCTAGTTTATGAAACTGTTGACCTTTTTTCTGTACCATTTTTGGTTCTAAAGTTCCATATGTTTTAAACAGACCATGTATGAAACATGGAACAAAAATTATTTCCCAAATTTCAAAGACCTGCAAATCATGTCAATAAATGGATGTATTTCATCATATCTTGTGTTATTCCATCTTTGAACTGTTGATGAAGGTACAGGATTTTTCCAAAAAAAAAATTATTTAAAATGAAAAAAATTTGCTTGGAAGGACTGACATATTTTTATAGAAATAGTTTCCTTTCATTTTGAAGTAATATTAAAGTATTCAGAAGAAAAAAGTTGACAAATGATGTAAAATCCTGCACCTTCTACTTGTTTGTACAATTTTCCCTCCGTTACTTTTCCCTCTGTTACCATGACCTTTCTTAATAAAAAATCTCATGACTCAAAAAGTAAGAAGTTTTTCAGCCTAATCTTGTACCATATGGTAGAAAACTATATGAAGCAAATATTCAAACCAGTTTGTTAAGGATATGGAAGTGAGAACCAAGAGTTATCACTGTTTGGATTTATTGCCCAAAAAGTGCTGCATATTTCATTCCCTCCGTTACCGACATGAGTTTTTTAATTTTTTGTCAACAACTTGAAAGAATATCACAGGTTTAACTTGACCCTGTTGGAGTGTAACTCTTTCCTACATTCTGATACTTTACTTATTTCAATAGTCCCTCTAGTTTCTGAAGTAAGAGCTATTTGAATGTCAAAAATCTGCCCCTGTTTCCCTCCGTTACCACTTGACCGGACCCAGTTGCAAAT